CCCCAGGTTCAATTCCGGTCAAGGGCATGTACCTTGGTTGTGGGCACATCCCCAACAGGGGATGTGCAGGAGGCAGCTGATTGATGTTTATCTCTCATCAATGTTTCTAACTTTCTATCCCTTTCCCTTCCTCTCTGTAAAAAATCAATAAAATATATTTTTTTAAAAAAAGAAATGGGCAAAAGCATCAGTAGATGAGTGGATTTAAAAAGCTGTGGTATAATTTACCACAGTGGAATACTATTCAGCTGTAAAAAAGAAAGATCTCTTACCCTTTGACACAGCATGGAGGGACCTGGAGAGTATTATGCTAAGTGAAATTAGCCAGTCCAAGAAAGACAAGTATCACATGATCTCACTTATATGTGGAATCTAATGAACAAAATAAACTAATGAATGAAATAGATCCAGAGACATGGAAGCATGGAACAGACTGACAAATCTCAGAGGGAAGGGGGGAGATGAGAGCAGGAAGAGATTAACCAAAGAATTTATATCTGCATATGTATAACCCATGGACACAGATAATAGTGTAGTGAGGGCCTGGGGGCAGGAGCCAAGAGGAGAGGGTCAATGGGAGGCGGGGGGATATCTGTAGTACTTTCAACAATAAAGACAAATGTTTTAAAAAAGAAATGAGCAAAGGACTCTTCTCCAAAGAGGACACACAGATGGCCAATAGATACATGAAAAATGCTAATCTTCAGAGAGATACATGTTAAAATCACAACAACAAAATATCACCTCATACCTGTCAGAGTGACTATCATCAATAAATCAACAAACAAGTGTTGGAGTGAATGTGGAGAAAAAGGAACCCTTGTGCACTCTTGGTGGGAATGCAGATTGGTGTAGAAAGCAGTGTGGCGTTACTTCAAAAAAAATTGCAAATGGAATCGCCTTGTGACCCAGCAATTCCACTTCTGGGAATATATCTGAAGAAACCCAAAACACTAATTCTAAAGAATATATGCATCTCTGTGTTCATTGCAGCATCATTTACAATAGCCAAGATTTGATAATAGCCCAGGTGCCCATCAGTAGATGAGTGGATAAAACAGCTGTGGTACATTTACACAATAGAATGAATATTCCCCGGCTGTATCTCTACAAAGTGGAAACAGACTCATGGATACAGAGAACAGACTGACAGCTGTCATAGGGTAGGGAGTTGGGGCTGGGTGAGATGGGTAAAGGGATTAAGCAAAGAAAAAAAAAGATTCATGAACAAGGACAACAGTATGGTGATTGCCAGAAGGAAGCTGGTGGAGGGTGAGAGAAAGTAAAAGAGCATAAAAGGGGGATAAATGGCGATGGAAGGAGACTTGTCTTTGGTGAAAAGTATGCTTAACTTCCATAGCCAGGACATGGCCTTTTGCCATTCTAGCATGTTATCTGACTTACCCTTTTGACTATGGTGTTAACCGTTATCCAGAAAGCTACCACAGTACCCTGAGCAGTCATTGCTCAGCTTATCTGAAAACTTCCATTCTACCTATCATCTGAACTGCCTCCTCTTTTTCCAAAGAGAATATCTTAGCTGTCTATTTTATATTATGGCCCTGTTAGGATGTAAGACCTCTTTAATTCCAAATAAACAGCATGCAGCTGTAAAGTTAACAAATGGTAAATAGTTCTGATGGAATAAAAAAAATGAGTGCACTGCCTTTAATTCCTTCTTCATCCTGCTATAAATGAAAACAGAGCTAAAATAGTATAGAGAAGTGCTTCCATTAATTCATCTATCCTTTGTCTTTTAAAAATAAATCTTTGCTCTGCGTGCATTTCCCTGGTTAGCTTAAGAAGTTGTTCAAAAGGCCTTGCTAAAATAAAATCTTAAGTAAGGAAAGGGAAACTTCTCCATGCCTAAAAATAAAGTGCCCCACCCCCTCCCCATGAGATTACTTATTACATCTGTACAAAGTTTAGAATTTCAGACTTTGGGACATTGAGGTCATCCAGAGGTTACTTTTCTCCCAGTCAAATACAAACATAATAAAATTGTTCATTTGCTTCTCCTCCCTGCCCCCTTAAAGGAGCGCCAAAGCCACAGTTACATGTACTTGTGTGTGACGCAAAATTCTATTTTTAAACTCAGACAGAATATATCATTAGTCATTTACAGAAGGAAACCATTAACTTCTAAAAGGATGGAACAACAGAACTTCTTCACATTGCCAATTGCTTCTAAAAACTAATTCTAAATACAGCAGTGGCTGGAAATACATGTTTTCTGTCACTTAGAAAGATACAGTTTTTCAGTTCACTTGGACCAGGTTATGAGTATATAAGTATTAGACCCTAAAAAGGAAGAAAAATGCAAAACTGTAGTAACTTATTTTTCTGCTTAATCATATCTGTTTAATCATCTGCTTATTCTTCTGTGTAATCATATTTTGGAATCAGACATTATTTTTAGGACTTTTTTGGTTTTTTTGCTTAGAAAAGTTAATGTTACCCCCAGATTGCTTCAGCACTAAGAATTCATGTTAATGTTGTATATATTTTTCATACACAAAAGAGTTTTTCCTTTGTTTTTTTAAGTTTCTCCTTTAAAAAACAGTTGTTCAAAAAAAATTTTAATCTAGAATAGAAACTGTAAACTTTCAACTTATTAACATGTTTTCTTAAGAAAAACTCAGACATCACTGTCATTTTCAAACTTTCTAATGCCAGAAATAATACTTATTATATGAAATGTTATTTTTAAAAAGAATATTTTTTAACATACATTCTTAATGGAGAATTACTTTTTATATAGAATAATGGATTCTAAGGGTGATGTTTGTGGAGAAACTTAAGCTTTGTCAAAATTCTTAGTTGAATTTTTACTACTGCCAAGATTGAGTATAGATAGAGAAAAAAACTATGTGATATGCATACTAATTTAATTCTTGAACACTTCAATAAAACTAGCTAGTAAAATAAATTTGAAATCACACTATGTGGTTCCAGATTTGAAGATGAGTCATTAATCCTTTTACATTTTAAAAAGTTCTCTCTGACTAAATTATATAATAGATGACAAGAGCCATAGTTAATTTACCATTGTAATCTCCTTTGTGTTTTAAATATCAACGGTTCAATAGATATTATGGGAGAAATAAACAAACATTTCATATTCTGTTTCCTAATTTTGCAGAGTATATTAATTATTTGGGTGCTTTGTGACTTAATTTTCCCCAAAGGAACTTCCTAAAATGAAAATTCATAAGAATTAGGATAATGGAGGAGTCCCAACTTAAAAAAAAACAAAAAACAAAAAAAAGGAAGAAAGAAAAGATAATTGTATAGGGTAACAACAAGGCCTGACAATTTGCTGATGCCTTTTTGCAAACCTGTTAAAGGTCTTCAAATTTTAACTAGAAAAGCTAATTTTTCATCCCTTTAAAATATTTAATATTTCCTGGCTTTCTCAATTTTAAGTTCTTATTTCATGTGTACTTTTAAAAAATATATTTTTTATTGATTTTTCAGAAAGAGGAAGGGAGATGGAGAGAGAGAGATGGAATCATTGATCAGCTGCCTCCTGCACACCCCCTACTGGGGATCAAGCCCTCAACCTGGGCATGTATCATGACCAGGAATCAAACTGTGACCTCCTGGTTCATAGTTCAATGCTCAACCACTGAGCCACACTGGCTGGACTCTGTTCATTTCTTTTAAATGCTTAAAGTTTAGTTAAAATTTTCTTTTCTTGAAAAACCTCTTCTAAATACTGAGAGATTATTACTTCATTTGCATACCTGATTAATAATGCTGGAGTAATCTCTTGTACATTATTACAATACCAACTATGAAAATTTTGTAAGCTTAGTGAATTTTAAGATGAGGAAACACTCATTTCTAGCTAGGTTCTTGTAGTTCTTGATATTTTCTTGCTAACCCATCTTTATATATCATGTACATATTTTCTGAATTGAACTAGATTTGAAAAGAATTAATTATTATTTTTAATTATTTAATGTTAATATGATTGTGTACAGTGTAAAAGAGTTTCAACAGAACATTCTTTAAGTGTCATTTTGATAAAAGTACATGGACTTGGTTCCTCTTCCCCAAAGCGGCCATAGGTGACCTCTGAAAATGGTTCGCTACTCAACTAGACCCAGAAAACTTCACGAAATCATGCAAATCAAGAGGCTCAAATCTTCGTGTTCACTTAAGAACACTCGTGAAACTACCTAGGCCATCAAGGGTATGCATATTCGAAAAGCCACCAAGTATCTGAAGAATGTCACTTTACAGAAGTGAGATGTGCCATTCCGTCGTTACAGTGGTGGAGCTGGTAAATGTGCCCAGGCGAAACAGTGAGGCTGGACACAGGGTCATTGGCCCAAAAAGAGTGCTGAATTTTTGCTGCATGTGTTTAAAAATGCAGAGAGCCCTGCTGAACTTAAACTTTAGATGTAGGTTCTCTGGTCACTGAGCACATCCAGGTGAACAAAGCTCCCAAAATGCAGCATAGAACCTACAGAGCCCAGAGGTGGATTACCCCATACATGAGTTCTCCCTGCTACAGTGAAAGGACTCTTACTGAAAAGAGCAGATTGTTTCTAAACCAGAAGAGGAGGTTGCACAGAAGAAAAAGAAACTGAAGAAACAAAAACTTATGGCTGGGAGTAAATTCAGCATAAAATAAATCTAATAAAAGTTAAAAAAAAAAAAAGTAAATGGACTTTTAAAAAGTATTAATTCTCTTAATTTTATCATTACTATGTAATAAAACTAGCCTATATTAAGAAGGGGATGGTTTTTAAGATAAAATCTTCAAAAAGAATACCTTCTACATCATATAATTAGAATCTTCTTCATAAAACCATCAAATAGTTTAAATTCTCTATTAAGGAAATCACTGGGTATCTTCATCTTTAGTGTTTCAATATTTCCATCTTCCATTTGGATTATCATTATAACCTTTACTCCCAGGTTGCCAAGAACCTTCTACTTCTGCAAAAGGGAACAAATCTTGAACTTTTCACTGTTCTCTTTACTTCCAGAGTAATACCATCCTATTGTTGGATACCATTGGCCGAGCCGTTCGTCGTCTCATCCTCCCTTCAGAAGAAGTTACATCTAAGAAACCTTCCTGGTGGAACAAGGAAGAAGCTGTAAGGAATACCCAACTTGTCCAGCAAATTGTCAAGGATTTTCTATAGCTTATTAACCATAAACATGAATGCCTGCCCATCCCTTTCATTGCCTTTTGTTCATTATAATGCACAAGAGAATTCTCTTACTATGCACTTGTAGATTTTAACACAGTACAAACAGACATAGATACACATACCATTACATAACATTGGCTTCTTTTTGTATCCATTGTACGCACATGAAAGCTTATCAGGACTGAATTAATAATAATAGAACATTATGAGCTATTTGAGTATGATATTTATAACAAATTCCTAATCATGAACCACTTTAACTTGTTTTCCAGATATGCATTTATGTTTTGGATTTATATGATAAACCCATGAGTACAACACCTGTGGGAAACTGATATAGGGTTGAGCCTCGGACTGACCTGCTGGCAAAGTCACAAACAAGTCCCAGCTTAGAGGGCTCAGTCCTCTTAGCATAATTAGGCTTGACCTTATAACACTCCCCAGATCTTACCTGGGAAGCTAATAGGCTGAGGGAAGTGCAGGGAGTGTAAACATGATCAAAACAGGGGAAACTCACAAGAACTGTAACTATGGTAACCACTGCATTGTTTACCTCAGACTATAAAAGGTCGGTGTGGCCTGAGCACGGGTGAAAGTCCTTCCTCTTGAGTTGGACTTACCCGCCTGGCCCCCCAATATTTCCAAATTATCTCTTGTCTTTTCTATTTCATTTGTGTGCAGCTCCTCTTCCAGATATTGAACCCTGAACCATGCGGGACGTGGAAGGAAACATTTACGACAAATACCTAATTACGCCTACTAGATAAATAAAATTAAACTAGTAAATAAACATTTTAGGCCAACCCAAAGAATTTATTATGCCATTTAGGAAAGCATCATGGATATATAATAAGGCTTATCCTCTGCTCTGCAGGATAGCATACTTATGTCTTAAACGTCCATGAAAAGAGATTTTTTTTAAATGTCATGAAGGTCTCCAGATCTAAGAAGAAAAGCATTTTCTATTTATTTATGTTAAATTCCACTGTTAACCCTTTGAGTGCCAACCAGTGTCCTAGGAACTACGCTAAAATTGCCAAGGCATTTTTGCTGACTTTACAGCAGTTTAGGAAAAAAATTATGAATCGCAAGTAAATGAAGTTACATATTCAAAAACTTAAGGAAACCTTTACTACATTGACATATTTAACAATATCATCATCACTAATAAAAGCAGACTTAGAACTGGACGCCATTTCGAAGCTTTGATAGCGCTCCCGGCACTTTTGGCGAAAGATAGGAGGAGCGTGATCGCGCTCCCTGGCACTCTAGGGGTTAATCATCCAATAGCACGTGTATTTCTAACCAGTATTGGGTGTTATCTTTTAACAATTCCAAAGATGTTTAGTGCGTAGTTCCCAGTAAATTTTACATATATTTTAGCCCATGTTACCATAAGTCTTGGCCTAGATAATGAGGTAGCTTTTCTGAAAATTACTTTTTACATGTTGAAAAATTTTATTTAAGGCAAAGCAGCTGAAGAGACATGACTGCATCTGACATATTTAATGTGAATATTTTGTTTTGTTTTGTCTTTAGGAAACGTATAAAATGTGTAAAGAATTTTCGCACAAAAACTGGCTAGTATTCTACAAAGAAACAGGGTGAGCTCTTGGTTGTAGATTTAAACTGTGGTCCTTATTTTGCCCATTATACTTCCTCTTTTAAATATATTTGTTTATTATAAAACTAATGTATCCAAATTATAAATGTTTTATTATAAAAGAAACTCATCCCACATTGTAGAACATTGAACAATAGACATGAGAAGAGACAGTGCTCATAGCTCCTTTATTCAACTACTACTAGTATGGCAGCTGGCACTTCCCATTATTTCTTCTGATGCATACCCTTGCATAGTTCATAATTTTGTGTAACTGTTTGCTTAGTTAACTCTTTTCTATGTTATTACTTAGTCTTAAAAATAATCTTTTTAAGGTTGAAATGATTTTGCCATGATTATGCAACCGTTATCCTGAGCATCTCCTTTCAGATACAGTTTTCTTCTCCTTTTTCAGGAGCAACTTGACTGTGCTGGATGTGCTAGAAGGGCGAACTCATACCATCTCACTTCCCATCGACCTCAAGACAGTTTTTCTTGTAGCAGAGGACAAATGGCTTCTGGTGGAGAGCAAAACCAATCAGTGGGTGGACCTACATAGTGTCTCATGCCACCGCTCCTCCTCACCCATTATCCAGCATCCTTACTGTTCTGTCTTCCTGTGTCTTTTAACAGTTTCTGAATTTGGTAGCACCTCTGTGGATGAAAGTTAAAAGAAGTGAGGAGAGAAAATTACAGTAAATTAAAGGTCACTTTACAGAGTAATTACAAAAGTGTTTTTAGAAGATCACATTGAAATTAACAGTAAAAACATAATAACTTGTATGTATGATCCATATTTCTTTGGGCTTTTTCCTGTTAGCACATTGAGAACTCACTGTGTTCTTGCCAAACTAGAGATTCTTCAAAATAGATCTTCAGTTTATCCTGTCTTCAAAGGGCCACAGTCTCCATCATAGAGCTGTTGCTTTTGTGTGCCTTCACAGAATCACCTCTTAGAAGCTTCTTCTTCATTTGGTCATGTGTGCTCTCATTTGGTCATGTTTGTGTTTGTGTTGCTTCCCCATTGCACTGCGCACTTCCTGATGAAAGGGACATTGTGTGCGCTTGGCATAAAGAGGGTGGGTGCACGGTAAATATTGAGTGCCCTCCTTCATGCATTTACCCACTAGCTAAAGGCAGCCTTTCTCTGCAGCCCTGCTGGCAAGCTTAGGTAGTCTGCTCAAAAGATTTCTGGCTATTTCTACAGCACCATCTCAGAAATCTTAAAGATAAGGAGATCAAGGAGATTACAGTAGTGAAGGCTTCTGTCCCTTAGCTGGTCACAAATCAGAGGTCAGGCTCCCACTTCCTGGCTGATCAAACAGTTGTATCAACAGCAGGCTCCATGATAATAAGTGTGTATCGTTGCAGTTGTTTTTTCTTTTCTTTTTTTTCTTTTATAGCCCTTCCTCTTACACAAAGTGCTAGATTTTTAGTTCACATTTGTTACTGCATTGTGATTATCACTGCTCCTTCTACATGGTGTTGACAATCACAATGAAACTCTGGGAATTGCAAATTATGCTAAAAATATAAAAAAGAGGCTTTGGGAAGAAAAACTTGATTTTTCTAGTCTGGCTGCACGATTACTAGAAAAATAAAAACTTTTCACTTAGAGGTTTTGTTTGTTTACAGGAAATACCTTTTAACTAAACCTGCACATATCGAATCTGAGGATAGTGGGGTTTGCCAGTTGTATGTATTGAAGGAGGAGCCGCCCAGCACAGGGTTTGGAGTTACACCAGGTAAGCACTGTGCTCTTTGTGTTTATGGCTGTATGGGTGTGTGCTCATATACACACTGTCCTCTAGAACCATTTAACAGCAATAATATCAGCATACGTTAAATTTATACCAAGAGCAAACTTAGTCACTACACTGGTAATAGTTAATAAGAATCCACCATCTTTTAAGTTCTGTCTTTGAATTTTTTTAACTGACAAATCAGAATTTTTATATACATTTAGGTTCCAAGTCTATTTTAGGATAGCATTTTTCCTTTTCACTTAGACCAGTGGTTCTCAACCTTCCTAATGCCGCGACCCTTTAATACAGTTCCTCATGTTGTGGTGACCCCCAACCATAAAATTATTTTCGTTGCTACTTCAAAACTGTAATTTTGCTACTTTTATGAATCGTAATGTAAATATCTGATATGCAGGATGTATTTTCATTGTTACAAATTGAACATAATTAAAGCATAGTGATAAATCACAAAAACAATATGTAATTACATATGTGTTTTCCGATGGTCTTAGGCGACCCCTGTGAAAGGGTCGTTTGACCCCCAAAGGGGTCGCGACCCACAGGTTGAGAACCACTGACTTAGATCATCAGGCTTTCTACTTAATTCATCACAGTTTTGGGGAAGTAAATAGTACTTACGAAAAAACTCTAAAACATACCATTACCAACATGGATTGGGTCAATTTCATGTCTTTTCTGCAGGGCTCTACTAATGATAATATTCATTGCTAATAAAAATTTGAATGCCATAAATACTTGAAATTACTTTGAGAAGATGCCTTGACAGTAAAAAAAAACTGAGTTTTCTCAGACGAAGAGCCATGAATGTAATTCAAAGTGTTTCCTCCTTTTTAACTTGTGCTTTTCTGTTTAGGTTGGTGAGAATGAAATCTTGTAAAAATTAATTTCATGGAGCATTTTATGGGCATGTGGTATCTAATGTTTCTCTGACACTATTCAGAAACAGATTTCAGCATACCTCATAGAATTTCAAGTGAGCAGCTATCATCTGAGAATCTGAGTTCAGCTGTGGGACAAAAGATAGCCTCTCCTAACCGAATTCTCTCAGATGAGAACAGTTATGCTACAGCCATTGTTGGTTTCCCAGATCTCATGGTAAGATCAGTTTTTTAACTTATTGAATAAATATTTCTTCTTAATTTGGCCTATAATATAAAGCCTATTTGAGGAGGTAATTAAAAATGAAATGATTTTCTGATAAACATTTCAGATCAACATTCTGTTTCCCAAATAAAACATTGAAAAATGTTTTACATAAATGGTTTCATTGCCTCTTTTAAAAATATATTTTTATTGATTTCAGAGAGGAAGGGAAAGAGAGATAGAAACATCAATGAGAGAGAATCATTGATGGGCTGCCTCCTGCATGCCCCCTACATTTAATTTTCATAATTTCCTTTATAGCTTTGAGGTGGGATGATAGAATTATTTAAAGATAAAAATGTCAGTTCTGCTTGATAGTATACCAATCTCACATACCTCAAAATTTTAATGTAATTAATGAATGAAGAGTACTTCAGGGTAAAAGACTTCTGAAATTCAAAACCCTATAGATAATATGTGGCTTAGAACTTTGCCATATGTCTTCCTAATTATCAAGTAAAAAGCATTTGCTATAATATTATGTAACTGAAAATAAACCATGTTGAAATACAGTATCTAGAGCAGCTTTGATTGAATGAAAGAGATGTTTAATATGCTTTCTACAATGCTTGCGTTATCAGTATAGAAAATACTGGAGCTATTTTTCTGAAGGTATAACTATTTACAAATTCATATTCTGATTAAAGAAATTAGTATAGAAATATAATCCTATATAATAAAAGGCTATATGCAAATCGACTGAACAGCGGAACAACTGGTCACTATGACATGCACTGACACTCAACACAGGAGCTGCCCCCTGGTGATCAGTGCACTCCCACAGGGGGAACGCCACTCAGCCACTCACGGCTGGTGAGTGCAGCAGCACTAAGGATGTCCGACTGCTGGCTTAAGCCCACTTCCTATCAGTCAGACATCCCCCGATGGCTCCCAGACTACAAGAGGGCACAGGCCAATTTCATGCACTGGGCCTCTAGGGTTACTATAAAAAGGTTAGAAAGAACAAGTTGAATATAAGGCACTGTTTTTATTAGCCCTGTAGAAATTCCTTATAGCCTGTAGAACGAGTGACCTTGTTAAATTCAAAGCTCTATCCTTGTCCTGGCAGGTGTGTTCAGTTTTTAGAGTATTGGCCCTTGGACCAAAGGGTCACAGGTTCCATTCCCAATCAAGGGAAGGTCACCTGGGTTGCAGGTTCCATCCTGGTTGGGGTACATGAGGGAGGCAACCAGCTGATGTGACTCTCTCACATTGAAGTCTCTCTCATTTTCTCTTTCTCTCTCTCTCTCTCACTCTCACCCTCCTCCCTCCCTTCCTCCTTTCCCTCTCTCGAAAAATCAATGGAAAAAACATCCTTGGGTAAGGATTAACAAAATAAATATATATAAAAGCTGTATTCTCCACATTTAATATAGTACCCATCACATAGATGTTCAATGAATTTTTGTTTAATGAAGGATTCATCGATTATGCAGCCTTTTAGCATTTTATACCAGTCATATGTTTTAGGCCTTAATGCAATAGTCAGGCACTTCTACAGGATTTTATAGATGAAGAAACAGAAACAGAGAGGATGTATCCCCTAGGCCCGTGGTCGGCAAACTGCAGCTCTTTGGCCCCTTGAGTGTGGCTCTTCCTAAGCCTTAGGAGTACCCTAATTAAGTTAATAACAATGTGCCTACCTATATAGTTTAAGTTTAAAAAATTTGGCTCTCAAAAGGAATTTCAATCGTTGTACTGTTGATATTTGGCTCTGTTGATTAATGAATTTGCTGACCACTGCCCTAGGCTACAGCGATTATGAGTAAGTCAGCTGGGATTTGAGCTCAGGTGTGATTGACCGGAAACCATAGACTTTCTACTATAAGACAGTCCCTTTCCGCTTCTATGTGAATTTCTTTCGATTCTTCATAAAACTGTCAACAAAGGGGTATATTGCCTTTTATTAACTTTTTATAGCATTATCAGAGGCACCTAAATTATTATAAACTTATTAAAACTTTCTAAACTAATACCAAATATCTGCAAAAACCTATAGCAAATGTCATCCTCAATTGTGAAACATTAAAAGCAATTCTTTCAATATCAATAAGACAAGTATACCCACTGTCACCACTTTTATTAAACATGTCATATGTGCTCTATTAAAAAATTGATAAATTTCATCAATGCTAAAAACTTAAGCTCTGTAAAAGACACTGTTAAGAGAGGAAAAGACAATCTACAGGCTGGGAGAAAATATTGGCAAATCACATTTCCAACAAAGGACTTGTATTAGGAATATATAAAGATTTATCAAAACTCAAGAGTAAGAAAACCAATAATCCAAAATAAAAAAAATGAGTAAACAGTGTCCCAGTGTGAGGTGTCAGAGGTCAGAGCCTGAGCAAGTGAAAAGGACATCTGTGATGGGGGAGGGGGAACCACTAGTGATGGCAGTCAGTACAGGCAGGATGAAGATGCTGTGTCCCCTTGAAGGGGCAACTTGATTTGGGAGCCAAATAAGGTGAGGAGGGCAGCCAGGCATGAGCATAGCCCAGGGTGGGCTATCGGGACCTTATGATAAGTAGACTTACCATGGTGTTCACTTTGTAAGGTAAAATAGGCATTGAGTCTTTGTGTTGTATACCTGAAACTAATCCAATGTTGTATATCAACTATAATTTTAAAAAATACTGGTAATGTTCTATTCCTTATGCCAGATAGTTGATGTGTTAGTTTATTTTTAAACTAACTATATTGTTATATTTCATCCTTTTAGTTATAATTCATTTCAAGATAAAACATAGGTTGTATAATCACACTTGTCTGAAAATTATGATTATTTGTGAAGCAGCTATCTCTTGTACCAAATTCAGAAAGTTTAAGGAATAATTTTATTTTCTTATACTTGTGAAATGTAAGTTTACTACTGGTATCTGCATAGAGGGCTGTATTACCCAAGCTGTGATGAATGTGGTTCATAGCACTTCAGTACTTGCATCTCTTTTTGTGTGTTTTTCAGTCTCCCAGTGAAGTTTATTCTTGGAAAAGGCCATCATCTTTGCATAAATCAAGGGTCACTGATACAGCGTTCTATGGGGGGAAGAAGAAAAGTGGAACTCCAAAACAGAGCAATTGTGTGACTCTTGTGGACACTAATCAGATAGTCCGGATTTTGCCCCCAGGAGAAGTCCCTCTAAAAGATATCTACCCAAAAGGTAAGAAACTTACCAATTCCTAATTTAGCAAGGTAGTTAAAGGCAGTTTCCTTTTGGTAGGGATATTTAATTTATCATTGGCATTGTATATTTATAAGTATAAGAGTGGTCTAGTAGTTTTAAAGACCTGTATGTACTCAGAAAGTTGTCCCTCAACTTCCCACACTGTGTAGTTTTAGTCTTTGCTGTTAGAACTCATCTTCATTTGCATTAGAATCTATAAAATAACTTTACTTAAAATATGTTGTCAAGGAGACCTTTAAAAATCACTAAAATATTAGACATAGATCTGACATTTTTCTTAAACCAGAGATTTCAAATGGTGGGCCAAAGCACACGGGTGTGCTGCAAGAATTTTTAAAACATGAGATACTTGACTATTTAGTCAGGTGAACTGACATCTTTTCCCCTAGATTGTCATATAAAAAATTATAGCAGCCAACACAACAATAGCTGTCTGCTATAAATGAATCAAAGTTATACCTATTTTTTGTCAGATCAGCAAAAAATATATTTCTTGGTGTGCCACAAATTTTAGTAATTAGTTTATGTGTGCCATGAGATGAAAAAGGTTTGAAAATTGGTGGCTTAAACTCTTGTGATGAAAGGCGAGGGACTTATGTAGATGGATTCACTTACTAGTGCTCTCAAAAATCAACTTATATTTATAACTACACTAGAGGCCCAATGCACAAAAATTCATGCACTCGGGTGGTATGGGAGAGTCCCTCAGCCTAGCCTGCACCCTCTCAGAGTCCAGGAGCCCTCAGAGGATGTCTGACTGACGGCTTAGACATGCTGCCTGCAGTCTGACCTCCCTCTGCGGGAGGCAACCGGGCAGGCTGATCAGGGGATGGCGCCGGCCAGCAAGTGGCCGGCCCCACACCCCTGATCTCCCCTCCATGTCGCTAGTTGCCGCCACCTCACCCTATTGCCTTCCCCTCCCTCTGCCCGCTGGCACATGCCTTGGCTGGCCTGGTGCCACTTGCTTGCTAGCCCCACCCCCTGCCAACCAGTTGTTCCGCCGTCCGGTCGATTTGCATACTATACTTTTATTATATAGGTTGTTTTGTTTGGGGCTGCAAATTATGCTCAGAGACTGAATTTGTCTTTGCATGCTTAACACAGTTTCACTGTAGGAATTTCACTACCCAATAGCATACAGAATGTCTTTTAATAAGCCAATAAAGAAATAACATACTCCAAACCAATGATCAGTTAATCACACTATTGTTCCAGGCAAGTGGAGATGAAAGAAATAAGTCCAAATTTAGTCAAGGTGTACCTTTTCTTAACCAACCTGGAGCACACTTCCAGCACCAGCACAAAACCAAAGTCCCTATTGCTATCGTGCGTGGCCAGGAAGCAGTAGCATAGCATTGGACACAAGATGGTCTCCTTCTGAGGCCACTGCTAGTATGAGTTGCCTTTATGAGGACAGGAGCTGATGCCCCAAAGGTCTTCAGAGATCTATTTAGGTCAGCAAAGGGTTGCCTTGCCCAGACCAGAGAGTCTCGAATAGGTCCTCACAAACTCTTGGTATTTAGAGTGAAATGCCCTCTTGCTGTAACTGCTTCTCCACGTTTTATTTGATAAGTCCCCCTAGGAGAACGACTCAGCATCTGAGCTACTGAGTGCTTATCAATAACAACAGGTGAGATAATGACATTCTGAAACAACTTTCTTCATTCTTACATCTAAACAACTGTATTTCTAAAGACAATATGTGGGTTTTTTTGTCTTTGCCAAAAACAAGTGGATTTAAAACAACTTTGATTTGAAATCATATCAAACCAATACACAACACTGCATAGCATATGTCAGGTCCTCCGCTGATCACTTTTCTTTGTATAAATTCACTTAATCTTCAAATCCCCACTTTATTGTTAATGTAATTTCTAATTTATATGCAGGGAAACAGAGAGGTAAAATAATTTGCTGAGGATCTCCCCACCAGAGGCCGGCAGAGCCAAAGTCTGCACCAAGGTCTTCCAATCCCTAGTCCTGAGCTATTCTTACTGAAGCACACTGGCTTTAATTATCCTATATAATAAAAGGGTAATATGCAAATTGACCCTAACAGCAGAACGACTGGGAATGACTGGTCACTATGACACACACTGACCACCAGGGGGCAGACGCTCAATGCAGGAGCTGCCCCCTGGTGGTCAGTGTGCTCCCACAGGGGGAGCTCTGCTCAGCCACAAGCCAGGCTGATGGCTTCCAGACAGCAGGTGGACATCCCCCAAGGGGTCCCAGACTGCGAGAGGGCACAGGCCGGACTGAGGGACCCCCCCAAATGCACAAATTTTTGTGCACCGGGCCTCTACTAATAGATAATTATGAAATTTTGTTATCATTGATCCACTGATTATTATTTGCATCACAAAGGCAGTAATAGGCTGTCCTGTATTTATATTTATTATATTAACATGGACTTTGTAAATATAATTCTAAATGCATTACAGAAATCTATTACTGGGTTTGAAAAGTCCTGGTTATATGTTAAAATATTTAGAATTATTAGTTCCTTCCACATAAGTCATCATTTCCTTAAAATGTGTTTTATGGTAGAAGAGGCAAGTGAATAAACTGCCAATTGTAGCACATTGCTATGATAGGAACCTTCACAAGTGGGGGGAAGCTTACAACCCAGACTGGTGATTATGATCTGACTCTTGAAGGATGAGTGGGAGTAAATCAAATGAAGGAATTGTTCCAGAAAGAAGGAACCTCATGTGAAAGGTACAGGGGCATGACAGAGCATTCCAGGAACTACAAGAAATTCTGCACGAGTGTTTAGAGCACCTTCATCCACCCAAAAACCTGAGGTCAGCCCTGATACTTCTCCCTCGTTTTCCACTGCTAATCCATCATCAATTACATGTCCTTCTGATAAATCTTACAAACTTATCTGATATCCACCCTCTTGTGTACAACTCTGTTGCCAACATTTAAATCATCACCAGCACTGCACTGGAATATTGCAGTAGCCTCCTGACAAAGTTCCCTCTTCCACTCTTTCTTCCTCCTCCCATTCTCCATACAGCAGAGTGATATTTTTCAAGTATACATTTTTCTCTTAGTAAGGCCCAGTTAACATACAGTAAAGTTCACACTTTTTAGTGTTATAGTGCTATGAGCTTCACGAATACTTATAGTTGCATAACTGTCACCACAATCAATAGAGAACAGTTCTAGCTCCCCTAAAATCTCCCCCAAGACCCTCTGCCGTCAAATCCTCCTCCTACTGCCAAACCCCCACTGACCTGATTTCTGTACTTACAGATTTGCCTTTTCCAGAATGTCATATAAATGGAATCACACAGCATGTGGTCTTTTGAGTCTGGCTTCTTTCACTTAATATAATGTACTTGAGAATCATTTATGTTGTGTGTACCAGTAGTTTGTTTCTTTTTATTGCCAAGTAGTAAGTAGCCTATTTTGTGAATGAACAAAATGTTGTTTATCTATTCACAAGTTGATAGATATTTGGATAGTTTCCAATTTGGGGCAATAGTGAATAAGGCTGCTATGAACGTTTTGTAGAGGTTTTCAAAAGAACATGAGTTTTCCCCTGGCCAGGTGGCTCAGTTGGTTGGAGTGTCATCCCATATACCAAAAGGTTACAGATTTGACCCCTGGTCAGGACACACACAGGAGGCAACCTATTTATGTTTCTCTCTCACATCAATGTCTCTCTCTCTCTCTCTCAAATCAATGAAAAAATATATATCCTTGGGTGAGGAGTAAAATAAATAAACAAACAAACAAACATAAGTTTTTGCTTCACTTGGGTGAATACCTAGGAATGGCATTTTTATGTCATGTGATAAAACTGCCAAACTGTTTTCCAAAATGGCAATACCATTTTGCATACCTGTCAGCAATGAATGAGAGTTCCAGTTGCTCTTCCTCTTTTCTAGTACTTGGTACTGTCAGTTTTTGCCATTCTAATTGGTGTATAGTGACATCTCATTATGATTTTTAATTTGAATTTTCCCTAGTTCCTGATGATGTTGAGCATCTTTTCATGTGTATCTTCGTTAGTGAAATGTCTCTTCAGATCTTCTGCCTACTTTTTGAATTGGGTTATTTGCTTTCTTTTTAGTGAGTTTTGAGTGTTCTTTATGTACTAGTATTCTAGATACAACTTCAGTATCAGATATATGTTTTCCACAGATTTTCTCCCATTTTGATAAAAGGAAAATCCCCTATGTTTTCTTCTAGGACTTTTATATTTTACATTTATGCTTCATGTTGACTTAATTTTTTTATATGGTACAAAGTGTGGGGTGAGGCTCATTGTTTTGCATGGGGATATTTGTTTTAGGATCATTTGCTGAAAAGACTGTCCTTTCTCCATTGAATTATTTGAACCTATGCTGAAAATCAGCTGACCACATATGTGTGGGTCTATTTGGGGATTTATGGTCCATTCCATTGATCTATGTGTCCATCCCTTTACCAATACCATACTTTCTTAATTACTTTCTAGCATTGTACTTTATATTTATCTTAAAATCAGTTAGTATAGATCCTCCAACTTGGTGGGGATCAGTGGGTGAAAAATTACTAAGAAGACATCAGAGTTAAGGGAAAAATCTGACAAAATTAGCCTAACTGGATTCTTGTTGAAGGCAGCCAGAGTGAGTGATCAGACATCACGGCAGAGATGATGGAGGATCAGGAACCCAGTCAAATTTCGAGGACAGGGGATTTGAGTTAAGCTTATATGGCACTATTCTTACTAAAATTGGACAACGCAGAGAAAAGTTTTGGAAGCCCAAAAGTTAGGGTCTAGTTGTGAAGAGTCTAACCAGAATTTGGTTAGAAAGAGAATCTTTGTCATCATCCATACTGATAGCTCTACTTCATTAAGTTTCACTGCTGTAATACCACAATTTATTCATCTTTCTTTATTGATGTGCATTTAGGTTTTTTCCAATTTTTTACTTTTAAAAATAGTGGGCTATGCACTGGCTGTGTGGTTCAGTTGG